ATTTAGAAACTTTTAGGTAAGTTTATTTCTTTTGAAACAAAACATAAATATTCAAACTAAATATTTACAGGGCGTTTCACCCTTTTTTACTAAACATTATGTTATTCCTTTGAATAATTGTCCCACTGTATGTTTTTTCATTTTATATATAAAAAGGATCGCTTAAAACAAGAAATCAGCCACAAAAACATTATGCGATTGGTCAGCGCACACGCACACTTTAAAAATTGCTTAAAACATAGGAAAATTTATTTTCCGCTCACAAATTGAACACAATAGTACTCAGTGGTATATGGTACTATTATTTTAACCAAAACTATTTTTAGAAAAAAGTATAACTTAATAGCTTTAATTAGTAAACTGATACTCGAATAAATAAATCACATGACGATGTTGAGTTTTTCTGCATATTTTGTAATCTAAAGTTTACAGCTTGTATCAGTCGAACATCCAACATAAAGAAGCATTTACAAGGAAAACATCACGACATTTTGGCTTAGTGGTTTCAGGGCTTGAAATAAGTGATTGCGAATTGCGATTCTGGAAATGCTTTTGGTCTTTAAAATTTTGGCTTTTTAAAAACCGTAAAACTGTTTTGATCACTAAACTCAATAGATATCATTTAATAAAAAATATGTACGTCAATTATGATATTAAATCTTAATGTAAAACCATATTATCACTATTATTTTTATTATTATTAAAGATTATAATTTAAACTTTAATATTTTAATTTATTTTATAAAACATCAGATAAAACTAGAAAAATAAAGCACGATAAAGTGAGATATAAATATTAAAAAACAAGCGCTAATCACAACAATCTAAAGGACTTTAACAGTGATCGAATATTTTAAATAAAAGAAATTGTTAAATAAGATATAAAATACTTTAAAAATTTTTATTTAAATCTCTTCTTTAAAACTTTAAAAAATCTTATTTAAATCTCATTTAATATTTTTTTATAAATTTAACGCTTGTAATACTTTAGCTAATACGAAGATAAAATTAAAAGATGGATGAGTTAATATATAAAAACTAATTTAAACTTTTTAATAGTTACTTTGAAACAAAAAAAAAAAAACAAACTCTAATAACATATTTTTTAAAAAATATACTTTATAATTTTTTTTCTTATTATATAATTAAATTCTAATTTAAAAAATTTAAATTTTTAAATAAATAATTCCATAAACTTTCCCCCTAAATAACAATCTATTTTTATGTTTTATATAATGCGCAAGTAGCTTTAGCATACTTTTTAATTTGTTGTTTTTTTATACAAAGTTTTATTCAATGCGCAAATAGCTTAAGCATAGTTTTTTATCGGTTGATTTTTAAATTACCACAAAAGTTTTTCTGACCTTTCGTAATTATAATTTTTGTCTTGCAACTTTTTTTTATTTATAATCCTTAAATTACATATTAATTATTGTTTAAAAAAGCAATAACTAATAATATATAAATTTTGTTTGTTATTATTTTTGCAGTTGTAAATTTATTGTTTTGCTTTTTCATTAATTTTTGCAATATGATAAACTGACCGTTTCATTTAAACAGTGTTAACGGTTTAAAAAAAAAAAAAAGAATTTAATGACCACATATATTTCTGGATATTGCAATTCGCGATCACTTAATTCGAGCCCTGGGTTTTACTCATAGGACACACTAGACAAATTAAATAAAAATAGAACATGCTAGATGCCTATACTTTGAACACTATCAAGTTCTTTATAACATCGAACTGGTCGAATAATGCATTTAGTAATCCCTTTTTGAGGAAAATAGTCAAAGTTCCACTTCCTTGTGCAAAACGTTTTAGAGAAAACTTGATACCAGAAACGATGGCAAAGTTATCAAACATTATTAACGAAAAATTAGAGAATTAAAGATCTCAAAATTAAATTGGGAACATCGAATTTACAGCGGTTGCTAACGTATCGCTATTAAGAAACAAATTATATGTCGTTTACTTACAACGCTTTTAAAGTATGCAAGAAGCACAAATCAATCTATAAATCTATATCTATCAATCACAGTCTATAAATAGTGTTCAATACCACATAAAAAATAAAGCTAAATTACAAACAAGTTGTGATGGAATTCGTTGGTCAGCTGCTTTCCTAATGTTACAGAGTTTTCAAAGTGTTTATATAAGAAATGCATTCGATCCGGAAAATCAATGTTCAAATGAATTAGATACAATTGAACTGTACCTACAAATCCTTCTTCCCGCATATCAGTTCAACTTAATTGTACAAAAGAATCTTTCATCGATTGCTGATGTTTTGCTGATTATGATTTCAAAAGAAATTACAAAAAAATGGAAAAGAACTTGCTAACTTGTTAATTTTTTCTTTTAAATTAAAGTTTCAGTACGAACCTAACTCAGGAATTCATCAAGTAGCATCACTGTTGAATATCTCAAAACTTAAACTGCGGTTCTTTAGATCTGATTGTCAATTTATTGCTACAAGTATTTAGTTATTTAGTTATATTATTTAATTAAGACAAAAAAAAGTTTTCAAATTTAGTTTAAAAAATAGTTTTTCAAAACCTAATTTATAAATTTAACAACTTTTATATATTAATTTATTATATTAAAGTTTATATTACAACCCAAAATTGCTTAGGAGCTGTAGAAACACGAAGAACTGAAATTTTTTACGCCACATAATATTTATCAAAGTGCTTCAGAATCCCAACCAGTATATGAGGTTACACAAACGAAAGAATGATTGAGTTCAAATGATCAGCAAATTGATTCGCTCAGCCGATTTATGCTAGATAATAATTATTGCTCAGACGCTCGGCAGCCTAATTTACAACTTTATTTACTTGAAATCAAAAAAGAAAAACTTTACTTTTTTAAGCAAGTTGAAAAGAAAGGACTTGTATACATCTGTGTATCCTTCCATCAGCAGCAGCTTTTATAGAGAGATATTTTAGTACTTGTGGTTTGGTAACATGAATGCTGATCTGATTATAAGTCACTCATTGTTAAAATTAAACTTAAAACTTCTTGAAAGTTCAAATGATTTTTCGGACGATGATGACTCAGATAGTGAAATGTAAACTTATAATATAAAAAACATATATTTTTTGAACTAGGAAAGCACAAAAATAAAATGAATATTTATTGCAATAATTTCAATAATTACAATAATTTTAATAATAACACAATGGTTTAAATAAAAAATTATATTATATCTTTAAATTAAAAAATAAAAAGTAACAACTTCATAATTCGCGTTTTCTTGAAAAGATATATTTTTAAAAATAGATTAGGTAAGTCGCGCTTGTGTCAAGTTCTCAAACGCATTTATATGCGTAAGTTAGGTTTGAGTTGCGTTTATAAACGCATTTTATATACGTAATTTGCATATTAAATGCGCGCGTAAATGCGGTTGTTTGCGTAAACTGCGTTTACTTTTACAAAAGTAAACGCAATAAATTGTGTCAAGTGCGTTGGAATTTGCGTGTGAGTTTTTATTTTGGAACGCAAACGCAAAGCGCAGTATTTTTTGCGTTCCAATGTATGATTATAGCTCATTCAAATTTTAGTTACAGAAAAACTTTTCCATCTCTCAAAAGAGCAAGTACGCAATAAAAATAAATATAATATATCATAACTGCTAAAGTTGAAGAAAAAAAAAAAATCTATTTTATAATTTTATATTCATCAAACATGAAAATATAATTTTATTCCTAGTGAAAAGATACACTTTAAAAAAGCTCATTTAAGACATATTTAAAACATGAATAATTTTTTTTTAATGATAACGGACGACTCAAATATTGTTGGGCAACCAAGATTAGCTAAATTATTACTTTCAGTCGCCCGCCAGATGACAGACCAAAATCCGAGTGTGTACCACTGTATATATATATATATATATATATATATATATATATATATATATATATATATATATATATATATATATATATATATATATATATATATTATATATATATATATATATATATATATATATATATATATCAAACCTTCTCAGGAGAGAAGTCTTACATGACCATGCATATATTTTTTTTTGACAACTTTGCTCACAATTTAAGTTCAAAATATTAATTGAGACGTTTCTAAATTTAAAAATATATTAGTTTTATGCTTTGATTTTCTTTGGTTTATCTTCTATTTATTTTATCATTTCTTAAAAATTCTTCACAAGTTCTTCGTAAAATTTTTTTATTGGCTTTAGTATATATATTGAATATCTTATAGCCTACTGCTACAAGGAAGTGCTAGGACATCCATTTTCTTATAGCCTGCTGCTACAAGGAAATGTTGCTACATCGACTATCTTATAGCCTGCTTTTACAAGGAAGTGCTGCTACATTGACTTTATATTTTGCATAGGGCTGCAATCTTTTATCTTTTATTATTTCAATTAAAATTTCTAATGTTTAAAAACTCTCCACTAATGTTTAAAAACTCTCCACTAATGTTAAATGTTTAAAAACTCTCCACTAACGAGATCGCAACAAGTGAAAAAATAAAATTAATTTAGAGCGCTAAACTGCAGCTTTATCTAAAGTTAGATTGTGTTTGTTAAGAATTTTGTATTTTATACCTAGTTTTGTATTTTACCCATAGTTCTTCATTGTCCTGTAGGGCAATGATTTTTTAATTTAATTTACACAGTCTATGTCACATGTTGTAAGTAAATAGAATAAAAAATTATTTCTGGCATTTTGGCTGGAACCGGAATGACCTAAAAGTCACATATTCTGGCTGGAATTCCGGCTGGAACGGAAATGCGGTACATCCCTAATTTTTATATAATTTTAATTGCTTTTATATAAAAATAATTTAAAAAGATAGTATAAACATATCATAATTGATATATATATATTTTTTTTAGTATAAGTGTATGATCTCTTAATGAAATAATTTTTGTATTAAAGTATTTTGAATTATAATTCAAAATAAATATATAAATAATTTTTTTATTACTTATATTTTTTGTTATTAACAGTATTAACAAAAAACATAATTGTTCAAAAATTTGCAAATAAACTAAAATGAAATTGAGGTAAATCAAAAAGTATGTCATCTGAAAAGTTTGAAGATTGTGAGGATGAACTCCGTTTGTGTCTGGGTGAAATTCAAAATTCATTGAAAAACAAACTTCCGAATTTAAAAGGAGGTATGTAATTAATAAATTAGAAAATCCACATATTTTGAAATATTATATAATATATATAAATATAAAATCCACATATTTTGAAATATTATGTATATATATATATATATATATATATATATATAATATATATATATATATATATATATATATATATATATATATATATATATATATATATCTGTGTGTTTGTGTGTGTGTGTGTGTGTATGTATATACCGATGAGAGATAATTACAAAAAAAAAAAAACTAGGAAAAGACAATAACTTTTAATGCAAAAAAACTTAAAACAACATTTTATTTTATTTTCAAAACATCGCTCTTTTTTAATTTTTTTTGTAAAACTAAGCGACATTATTTATATAAAATAACATGTTACGATTGCTTAATAAAGAAAAAAATGTACTTTTATTTATCAAAGAGTATAATATAATTTTTATTTATATACTTGTATCTTATTTTCAGTGCTGGATTAAGGAGGGTTGGGGTAAGAGGGGGTTATAGCCCTGGGCCCTGCAATGTTAGGGGCCCTGAAATAGTCAAGAAGACCTTTTTTTTTAGACATTTTTACGCTCTGGCACATAAAAAAGGCCTTCAAAATAAAAATAGCTCTGCCCCTGAAAAGTCCAACAAGATTATAATAAAACTTGCGCTATTTAGGCTAAATTATTATATAAATAAAAAAGTTAATTTTTTTAATAACTATTTTATGCTTCGTGTAGATTGAAAAGTTTAACATATTTGAAACAATTCTTCTTAGTAAGATGAACAAATAAAATAATTAAATCATTGAGTTACTGTAGAAATTAAATTAACTAGATAGATTTTAACTAAAAAGGTTAACAATACTTAATGAAGAGGAAGCAGAATTGCTTCACAATACCGCTGATGATGTTTAGTGAGTAGACTTTTTAGTATTAATTAGTGTCTAAAACAGAAAAAAGTATAATGAGTTTGAAAAAATGGCAACTAAAGCAAAAATAATTAGAGTTAATAAACCAATATCTAAGAACTTCAAAACTTTTCTTTATATCTAATAACTTTCTCTCTCTCTCTGAATAATTTCATTGAAAACGCAATTATTGTTAAAAGTCTTTTTGTTTGCAAAATAAATTGTAAAAATTTCTTTAAAAGATTACATTAGAATAAAAAACAGATAGTGCTTATATCTATGATAATTTTCATGGTTTATTGAAGTTTTTACTTACACTTCTTATGTTTATGTATATTGTCTTATTTTCATTAGGTTGAATTTTTAAAATGCTGCAAAGTATTTACGTTAAAATAATTTAAAATATTTTTGACATTGAGGGAGAGTTCAGGTATATGTTATCATTTGTGACAGGAGGGAAGGGGTTAAGAATTGACAAATATAGGGTGACATGCTTTGTGGATGACCCCCTTAATTATATTTACAAACCATTTGTTTAACACGTTGACCGCCTTGCCTTTTTTTGAAAAAATCACATTGCCAAATAATCTTTTTTTTTTTGAATATTTCGTGTATACATATGTATACACAAATAAGTCAAAGAGGAGTTTTTTTTTTTTAATAATTTTTAGTTTTTGTTTGAACATTCGAACAATAATTTTCTCAAAACCTAAACTATTTAACTTTTAAATATTTAAAAATATATTTTTCCAAAATGTTCCAGAACCTTCCAGCACGCCGATAAACGGGTATATAAACCTAGCGTTTTCTGCTAAACACCAGTTCAGCAATTGTATGGACTTTAAATATTGTTGAATAAATAATTGTGATCGACTGAAAGAAAACTTGACTGTCGAAACTTAACAGTTTTCAACTTTTTTCATCAAATACTTGATTGATATTACTAATTTTTTGATACAATCGTAAATTTTTATTATTTTCTAGCTATTAATTTTTCTTATTTATTAGAATGGCTGATGATAATATTGAATTAAACGATAGCTTTGAAAGGTTGCTGTTACAAAGTGATGACGAACATGATTCTGATTTAATGGAACAACAATTCGTCAATTCGTCAATTCGTCAACAGGACGAATCTGATGAATCCGATAGTGCTGATAGTGAATCAACTGATGGTGGTAGTGATGATGGTTCAGAAGAATGGTCGAAAAATGTGCAGAAACCTTTAAGATGGGATTTTGATGACGGAACTGCGGGCATGAATATGGATATGGTAATGGATTGCAAAGAACCTGTCGATTACTATAACTTATTTATGAACAACGAACTTATCGATTTTATTGTGGAAGAAACTAATCGTTATGGACCAACAAAGGATTCAAACTATTTGCCGACAAATAATATGGAAATGCGAAAATTTATGGCTATCATTTTGCAAATGGGATATGTTGTTCTGCCTAAACTCGATGATTATTGGTCCTCTGACCCTGCTATTGGCGGTAAAGCAATATGTGGAGGTGTAATGACAAGGAAAAGATTTTATTCTTTGATGAGATCCCTCCACTTCGCTGACAATGACAACAATAATGGATCAAAATTATATAAAATAGAAAAATTTGTCAACTTGTTCATTGCCAGATGTCAACACTTACTGGTTCCAGGCAGAGATATATGCATTGACGAAAGCATGATACCCTTTCGCGGCAGACTTCGATTTCGTATGTATATTCCTAGTAAAAGGCATAAATATGGCATCAAAATCTTTAAATTGTGTAGCAACAACGGATACACTTATAATTTATCAATTTATGCCGGTAAAGAGGACCAGCCAAGATATGGTTCTGTGGCAGAACGTGTAGTTTTAAAACTAATGGAAAACCTTCTTGGACATGGCAGAATTCTGTATACAGATAACTGGTATACAAGTATGAATTTGGCGAAATCTTTATTGGAAAACAAGACAAACTTAGTTGGGACGGCCAGAAAAAATAGAATTGGATTTCCAAAACACGTAACTTCTCTGAAATTGAAGAAAGGTGATTATGTTGCAGAACAAAATGGTGATGGTATTATGATTTTAAAATGGAAAGATAAAAGAGAAGTTATAATGCTTTCATCTATTCACGATGGTAGCATTACGGAGAGAGGAAAACCTGCTGTTATCGTAGATTACAATAAAGGGAAATCGTTTAACGATCTATCTGACTAATTGGGCTCTTATTGTCCATACGTACGTAAAACAATGAAATGGTACCTCAGAATCTTTTTTCATATAATTACTCAAGTTTCCATTGTTAATGCTCTGCATCTTTATAAATTACATAGCGGAAAAAATATCAAAATTGTACAATTCAAAAGAGATATTGTCTCATCAATTTTGCAACTGGAAAAGCCAACATCTTCTGGACGAAAACATCAACTTGAAAAAGAACCAGGAGAAGGAACTATTCGAAAACGACGTTGTACTGAATGCTACAACAAATTATCAAAAGAATTTGGTGCCACAATTGCCAGGAATCGTGCTAGTCAAATTAAGACAAGATGTGATAATTGTTTAAAACCTTTTTGTTTAGCTTGTTTTCAAAAATGTCATACTAAATGTTGATTTTATTGATTATGTTGATTTTATTTTTTTGTTATAACGGTTTTTTTTAATTCTAATGTTATTTTCTGTTTTATTTTTTTCAAATAAAGTTATCTTTTACCACAGTGTTTTTTATAATTTGAACGAAGTTTTTTTTCTTAAAACGCTATCTATTTAAACGCCATTAAATTTTAAGAATTGATAAATATAAAGAAACAATTGGAAACAAGTAAAAATTAGAATATTTAAAATTAACAAAAATAAATTTACTATCAAAATCGTGTATCCATATGGATACACGACTTGAAGAAACGAGAGTTTACGCGTGTATACATATGGATACACAATGCGGTCAACGTGTTAATGAAAAAAAAAAACTAAAAAAGGTTTTAACTGATTTTTTTATATTCAACCCTCAAAATAAGGAAAAATGAGGTCGGGAAAAATTTGCTGACCTCAATCTTTATGAGATTGGCATCAGGTCGGCAAAAATTATTTGATACCACAGTTGTTACACTGTCACTAATACTCAGTATATGAAAGAATTTTTACTTCGAATTGCAAATAATTAATTATCTCAAGAAATATACAACTTTTTTTTATTCTGTAAAAAGTATTATTTGTATAACACATAAACAGTATATTTGTATAACATTTGTATAACATATAAACAGTAGAAAAGTATTACATTAAGTAATTTAAAAAGTTTTTACTTGAATCATACATATTATTTAAAAAAAAAAAATGTTTAAAAAGTTTTTTTTTTTAATTTTGAACAGAATATTTTCTCAAGTTTTTCTCATTAATCAATCCCTTAAGATATACAACTTATAATATAACTTTTTCTTATTCTGTAAAAAGTATTATATAAAAAATACTTTAGAGAAACAGAAAAATATTATATTATATTGAGTAATTAAAAAAAGTTTTACTCGAATTGTAACTATTACTTTCGAAAAAGTAAATTCATTTTTTTTATTTTGAACAGCATATTTTTTTAATAAAGCACAATATTAAATTATTGTATAAGTTGTTACAGACTGTAACAACTTACACAATGAGGAAATGTTGTGCTTTGATGAGAAAATATACAGTGGCAGGTCACGGTAACTTTCAGTGGCGAGCCACTTAAACAATTCACGTAATGAGAAAATTTACTACGCAAGGGTGTAACAAAATTTTTTGCACGCAGGGCACAAATGTAAAAAAGCAGGCCTTGCGATAAAGCGTTGGGCGATGTGAATTTTACGTCGTCCAAGAGCAATTTTGCATGTAGCTAGGCCTATTTGCGTCGAGCTAAAAATTTTTTGTTTGAGTATATTTAAAGATATTTTTGAGCGGAATTTTAATGAAGTAATTTACAATTATTTTAACATTTAATAAAGTATTTTAAAAACTGCACGCAGTTGAAATAAAAGTTTGAATTACAAAAAAATTAAATATGCTCATTATTTACAAGTAGAAAAAATTCAGATTAAAAAAAAAGTTTAAATCTTTTTAAGCTAGCATTTTAATAAAATTAATCAG